GCTCTGTTTTGGCCACGAGCAAGTAGGGGAGGGAGCTAGCAACAGTGAGCTGTCTGTATGGTACGGGGTGAAACAAGAAATCGCCTTTAAATGCTCTTTGGTAGAAATAACAAAGGTGGAAAAGTTAGTTGTCTGCTCCAGGAAAAATCTACGAGCTAATTTAATTTGACTCCTGGTGCATGCCTGGGGACAGTGGTTTCTGCTGGAGGTGAGCGCAGGCTGTCAGCTGTGTGATGGGGAAATTTCCATTCTCCGGGTGCTTAAGCAACAGCGTAAAAATGCCAATTCAGACATGCTGGGTGACGAGGTTGTCCATTATAACCATTCCCAGTTCAGCCAATGCAGCTGTAGCCGTTCCCAGTTTGGCCAGAGCATTATGGGACTTTGCTTCCCTGAGCTGCCCATGCTTGGGAGCAGAGAGGAGAGAAAACATTTCCCGGGGGTTATCATGGAACCGTAGAATAGTTTGGGTGGGAAGGGACCCTTAAAGGCCATCTGGTCCAAACCCCTGCCATGAACAGGGACATCTTCAACTGGCTCAGGTTGCTCGGAGCCCAGTCCAACCTGGCCTGGAACATGTCTGGGGATGGGGCATGAGGTTGACCTTGCCCGAAGCTGCTTGCGGGAGGAGGGTCCGTGGTCCCCCCACACGGGGGGGGCGCCCCCAGCCATGGCAGCGGAGCCTCGGGCACCCCCGCTCTCCACGCTGGGTGCCACCATCGGGGGTGCAGAACAGCAACTGCTCATCAGCGACGCGAGTCAGGGCGGCGTGTCGCTTGCAGGGGACCATTGGGTTTCTGGACCTTCCACTCGTCGGCTGTTGTCCTCCTTTGTCCTTGTAATGTCCTCACTGCAGTTAAACTGGGGCGTCGGTTGCGGTGTTTGTAAGCCACAGTAAAACGCATCTGCACTGAACTAATCTTAAAAACGGACAGATGTTCTCAAAACGCACGGCTGGCTAGGCAGGGCGCCTTGGCTCTGCCAAAACCAGGAACTTCAGAGGAACGATCGCTTTTATCCTCCCTCTTCTCACTGTTGTTTTGTAGTAAAATCTGCCGAGACTTAATGGTAAAATGCGCGGAGTGTGTGTGGGTGCGTGTTAGGTTCTTTACGGTTCGGGTTTAGGTGTTGGTCCAGCCCGGGTTACGTTCAGCTCACGCTGCTTGTATCGCAGTACGGCATTGAACTCAGTCCGCGGAGCTGATTTGTATTCCAGATCCATCCATTGCAAGGACTGCTTCTTACGAGCGCACAGAACTAGAAAGCATAAATATTTATTCCTTAAAGGTTATGATTGCCTTAAATCATTCAAGCTTATTTGGTGAGCATCAGATATAATTAAACTAAGCAGCTGAACTCGATCTGCATGTGTGAAATAATATATATATGTGTGTGTGTATGTATAGGCTTAACTCCAGTGTGGATGGAAGCTGTGAGCTAATTGCTTCCATCACATCAAAAGATGCACTGATAATTTTATTGTTCCTGGATGGGGTAATAAATCAACATAAAGAAGCAGTTGAAATTATATAATGGCAGGTCACGTTTCAACAGGCAGCATACACAAAAACGGTAAGAAAAGAAGCAGGGCTCATCTCAAGCACTGTGTGGCTAACTGTAGGGAGATCATTAAGCGCGTTATGAAAATGACTGCGCTTTTGGATGCAGAGAGTTGCTCACGTACTGAAATTCGTGTGCATACCTTCGTGGGTGCCTGCATCTACCGGGCATCCCTGCACACCTCAGAGCTCAGCCGCGATCCCGCGAGTGCCTGCCCGTGGAGCCCCGGTGCGGGTGACGCGCGGGCCGGCCGCAGTCCCGGTGCAGCAGGGTCCATCGGGGTGGGAACCGGCGGTGGGATGGCACCGGTGGCCTTTCTGCAGCCGCGTGTGGCTTTGTGCCCTTGGGGGCCTTTCCCCCTTCCTTTGCAGGTTTGAAGGTGGAGAAGGGCAAGCCAGGGATGCCTGGCCGTGCCAGTCTCCAGCAGTTTTTGCATTGTTGTTGTCTTTAAAGATGGTCAGTTTGGATAAATTCAGAAGAGCTGCACAGCCTTTTCCGAGCAGGTTGGTGTAGACAAACAACATACCTGTGCACATACCTCTCCAGAAGCAGAAGAAACCAGGTGATGAAATACCATTTTAATCTGTCTTTGATGACTCTGGTAGCGATAGGATGAAAGTCTCCTTTTGGTTGTCATTAAAATTAATTTGAAAACCCAAGGAGAACCAAACTACTCTTGCTCTATGAAATGTTATTCATGGAATTAATCGTGTAGTAACGTACGTCTAAGGTACAGATGGAAATCCCAGCTGAAGAAATGGTCTCCAAGGATGTGGAAGCCAGGATTACAGTCCGTTCACGCGTGTGTGCTGCTGGGCGTTGCTGTAAAACCGGAGGGGCAGCTGCGAGCCTGCATCGCGTGGATTGCTCCGATGGTCAGAAGCACCTTCGACTTCGGTGCTGGAATTGGTGGTTCCTCAGCGTTTCTTTGTATCCAGCGAGCTCGTCAAAGTTAATAGTTTTGCCAGGGGCTTTGACAGAAGCAGAAAAAAAGAAACTGTCATTGCCTGAGGTCTAAACATCGACTGGAGCTGGAGAATGTTCACGGTCGTGTTAGAGATGGCCACGTTACAAGTGCCTCCAGTTACAGTATTGTGCTGTAGGTAGCACAACAAGCATCACGCTGACCTGTTCCTTCTCCGTACATGTTTACTTATCTTTCTTTCTTCAAATCAAAAATGGATTATATTTATCATAGCACTTTGCAGGGTAATTTCTTTATCGTGCTACTGATCATGTCTTGCAGGAATTTCTCTTATCCTGACTTAATAGCTAAAAAAAAAGGAGAAAGAGAAATAATAATAGTCTTTCCCATTCTGGTGTTTTTCCTACAGCTTCTTGCCATGAATCTTCCCGTGTCCCCCAGGCAGCCCGTGCTGCTGTCCCGGGGAGGAGACCATACTGTGGTTTGAATTCTTCACCGGTTATGAGGGCGAATCCCACAAAGTCCGGTGGCAGCCTCAATTCCAGTCTGCTTCAGCACCACGTGATTGATGATATGAGACAGTGCATTAAAACGCCAGCTTTGAAAACGTGCTGTGCTGGCTAGGAAAGAAAATAGCCCCACAGTCGAGGGAATTGTGTTTCTGTAGAGAACATCACCGAGGCTGGGTAGAACATACGGGCTTTCCCCGTTTCAGTAGTAATTGTGGGCTCGGTGCTTCCCGCTGGGCACCAGCAGATGTTCGGCATCGCTTGGAGCACCAGGAGCCCTTGGAGATGGCACTGCTGTTTTCGGCCTCGCCAGGGACCTTTGCACGGTGCAGAAATCTCTGGGCTTGGGCGGTCAGGGTGAAGTCTCATGGACGTGCTGCCGGGCAGACGCTGAGTGGGGTAAACGGGGTTTTCTTCAGACTTTGGGGGGAATGGGTAAACTGGTGGTAGTGGGTAAGCTGGGTTTTCTTTACACTTTCTGTAGTCTCAGTTTCTACTTTATTCTCCATTTGAATAATCTGCTACAAAATACTCAGATTTATCTTTTCTTGGGGATTTTATGGCTTCCGCCACTGTTTCCTGGTCATTGGGGTGGGAGACAAGGGAGTGGAGAAGAGGAAAAATCACCAAGCATCTCACGATGCATTTTTTATTTTACTCACACGGGTAATTCAGGTTATATTCATTAGGATATATGTCTGCCTAACAGCAAAACGCACGCTTCATTAGGATAATCAGCGTCATCGTTGTTTTTATTGCGTTTTGAAGGCGTCGCGCCTTGCCAGGTGCCCCGAGCAGCTCTGGGTGCGGACGGGGAGGTGCCTCTGCCCCAGCGGGGACGGCGCTGCCAGCTCCCGGTTTGCTGAGCCGCGTCCCGGAGCCGGGAGGGGATACCCGCGGGGGCTACCGCCGGCCAGGGCTCTGCTTCCGAGGCAGAAAACGTGGCCTTTGTAATGATGAAAAATGATTGCTGCAGTCAGAAAGATGACCAGTGTCCCCGTGCTGGGGAGAGTGGCATTCAAGGATCTCCTTTGGCACCTGGAGTCGGAGAAAGAAAAATCAGTGGCGAGGTTTGTAGCGTGCGGGTGGGTGTTTGCAGCAGCGATCCCTGTCACTGCGAAGGGCTGAGGGGTTGGGGTGAGAAGTGTTTGAGAAGGAGAAGTTAGGGCAGTAAATTCTGCAGCTTGGCTCGTGCCTGGGAAATACGATGTTATTCCCAGCGTCCGGGCTGTGTCCCTGCTGCCGGCTCAGTTTGGAAACGGTGGCTTCGGAACGGGGTGCGGAGGCTGCCGGTGGGACGCCTGGATTTATGGAAGAAAATGAGGTGGTTTGGGTCTTCCAGTTTCTGAGACGAGGTTTCATGTCTAAATGTACAGTTAATGGGAAAACGATGCTCAAGGTTTGACCCCACATTCAGCAATAGCCGTGAATTCTCGGGGATTAAGTAGCCTGGTTTAATTAGCATAGTTTTAGCAGCAGACCTGGATTACAACTTTATCATGAATAATGTATGTGAGCAATTTAGAGATTTTCCGTTTTGTGAAGTGTCTGAGCAGACTGTGGTTCCCTTGGATCAAGCTGCTGGTTTAACTTCTTGGCAAAATAATTTTCCACGGACGGGGTGTGACGGAAAGAGTTTGTGGTGAGTAACAGTAGAGCCCGGCGGTGTGCTGGTTAGCGTCAAACAAGAAAACTGATCTTGCTGTAGTCTGTTCTGAAAGCATTTGTGTATTGTTGCAAATTCTTGTTTTGTGGGCCACATTTTTATTAGTTTAAAATTACCACCGATGCTTATTTGCTGAGAATCAATGGACATCGTGGGCAGAGCAGACCAGTCACTCAGCTAAACACCAAGCCTGTTGCTTCAACCACGGAACGGTGTAGGGAGAAACGCAGGAGGTTAAAAGAGCATTCTGTGAAAGATGGCTGGGAAACAAGTGCATTTGTTAAAGGCATTTTTATTTACTGGGAATAAAAAAAGAGGTTTCCTTGTGGTTTGAATACAGGTTCTGCCTCCAGGATGGATGCCCATGCGGGTCCACTGATGCCAACGCAGGTCGCCCGGGTCACTGCTGTGTCCGCACCGACGGTGACGTTCGTGGCTGCCACTCTGATGGACCAGACGTTTCCAGGTGGGGTTCTGTGTCTTGGTACCCGTCACGGGCACGTGTGTCGTGTGTTGCTGTGCTGCCAGCCGAGCCGTGCTTCCCATGCTGCATAGGAATGGCGGACGCTGAAAAAATCGGCTCAGATTTAATGACATTTGCTTTAGATAATTGCGAGCGTAGTCAGAGTGTTTCAGATCCTGTTTACTCAGTCTGGCAACTGGCAGCAGCTTTGTGTTTGATGATACGAAAGGCGAGTTTCTGAACTGTCCTTGGGCTCTGCATTTCCCGTGCCAGCGGTGTGGACGAGCGTTACAGGGATAACGCGGCTCTCGTTTGGGTGGCTGCTCCGCGGAGCCTCCTGGCTGAAGCCTGCGAGGATGCTCTGTGCTGTACCATGTGGTAAAGCCGATTTATTCACTGCCGTGTGCGTGCGGGTGTGCTGTCGGGAGAGGAGGGGCACGGCTCTTGCCAAAGGCTGGAGGAAGCCTTGGGGCTTTGTTTAGATCCATATACACACGTCGCAAATCATGATCAGATTTTCATAGGCATTTGGGAATCTCTGTACATGAACATGAAATTCCTCTTATGATACTGTTGTTGTGGAGGTGTTGAAGAGCACAAATGGATGTGCTTGTACTGTGTTGGTTCGTGTATGGATTTTTGGCATAAAAGCTCTCACTTGTCCAGCTAAGCCCTTCCCTTCTTGGGCACCTCAGGCTCACCAGCTCCACGCACGGCTGAGATAAAAGTTTCATAAAGCACGCAGAGGTCAGCTGCGCTGGGCAAATCCGTAAGCAGAGCTTTGAAGCGGGTCTGCCTGCTGCTGCACTTGTCTTGGAGGAGATCCCCTGGCTGAATTTGTGTTGCTGAGTGTTCCAGCTCGCTCTGGAAATCGCTGAAAATTTTATGACGCAGATACCTTAAAGCTGACGGGAGGTTCTGACACGTCTCTTCTGACGTGGTTCCGTGTAAAGTTTCTCCTCTGGTGTGGTGTGCTTTCGGTAGGCGCCTGCTGCTTTTATCAGTTCGTGGCCTGAGGACCACGAACCAGTGGCCAGTTCGTGTGTTTGAGGACCTGCGTCCCCTCCTGAGAGCCACCAGGAGCTGCGCTGGCTGGCTCTGCTGTCGGAAGCCGGCGGGGCGGAGGAGATGCTGAGACTGGTGGAGAATGCAGGGACAGAAAGGTGAAGATCTGTGCGGGAGTCGTGCTGGTCTGCAGCTCCTTGCTTGTTGCAAGATGAAATCGTGGTTTCTAATATATTTCATATCAAGGATGTTTCGTAATCATCTTCTTGGCAGACTTGAAAACACAAATACTCCTGATTTGATACCTCATGCTGGATGGAACTGTAGAAAGCCTTTTGATGAGCAGCTGACTTCCCGGCGGGCCGTTCGGTCGCGGGCCTGCCGAGATCAAGCGGCTGTGCTGCTGGGAGGCCGTCACGTTGGGACAGCAGTCGTTAACGGTTTTATATGCACACAAGTAACGTAAACGAGATGAACGTTCTAGTTTTGTTTCCAGCTTTCTCTTGAAAATACAAAATACCAACTTCTTGCTCCTTTTGTCATCTTTGAGTTGCTGCCAGCTACTTTTGAGGGAAAGTTGGTGATTTCCCTCAAGTATAGTATGGATTTTCCTTTTCATGTTTCTGAGGCGATAGCACTCTTTTCTATAGGCTGCTACAAACCATCGTTGTCTCCAGTGGAAAAACAATCGAAGTAGGAATCATAATTAAGAGCAAACGACAGTAATAAAGGTGTTTTCATGCATCAGCCTCCAAATGCCACAGAAAAGCGAGCCTGCGCTTCGGAAGCTGTTAGAGATGCTGGGAGCCCGGCCAAGTCCTGTGGGTGTCCAGGGACAGCACTGGCGGGGAGATGGTTTAAGAAGATAGGCTCCTCCAAGTGATTTTTTTTTTTTTTTTTTTAATACAATTTTTTACTGTTAATTTTTTTTTATTTCCCCAAAAGGACGGAGCCCTGGCCCAGGCTGCCCAGGGAGGCTGTGGAGTCTCCTTCTCTGGAGATGTTCCAGCCCCGCCTGGACGCGGTGCTGTGCCCCCTGCTCTGGGTGACCCTGCTTGGGCAGGGGGTTGGGCTGGGTGACACACAGAGGTCCCTGCCAACCCCACCATGCTGGGATTCTGGGATTCTGGGATTCTGTACCGTACGTGCACAGGCCTGTGCCACCGTGTTCGGCTGCCGGGCCCTGCAGCGGCAGCATTAATCCAACGTACAGACGTTATGGGGCGTTACAGCCACGCTTTCCTTTTGCGGTACAGATAAGCCTTTCTTTGGCTCTGTTTCTAAAGAGAAAATTGGGTGTTCAGTGAGGCTTGGCGTGGTTGGATTTTGCTCATGACAGCACCAAATCCTTCCTTCTCTGAAGACAAAATTAATAAAACTTTCTGTATTTCTGGAACAGAAGCAGTCCTGGCAGTGCAACGGTCCTGGCTGCTAGGAACCATTTAATGTTGTACTGGAAGCTGGAGAAGTCCAGTCTCCAGTACAAATCTGACTTTCTGGTGTTACAGCAGGCAGAAGAGCGGAGCTGTAGCTGCCACCCTCACGGAGCTCCGCATTATTTCATAGATAGCGGAGCTCAGACCATGAAGTGCCTTCAAGGTCAGGGCTGAGCTCTTGAACTTGATATTCAAAAAGAACCCCATGTAAAGAGCTGAGAGGAAGACCGGGAAGAGTCAGCGAAGGTGTTTGGGTGGGAGCCCGACTTAGCCAGGGCCAGCCCTGCAGAGGTGCGGGAACAGCTGGAGAGAGGCCGAGAAATGGTCTGGAGGTGCGAACAGGGGGGAAAGGCCAGGCCAGGTGGACCCCCGCTGCAGGTGAGCCCGTGGCGGCCGCTGCCTCCGGCTCGGGGAGGGAGGAGGCGAAGGAACGGGCCCCGTGCCCAGGCTGGGGCTGCTCTGCGGGCAGCGATGCTGGTAGTGCTGCAGAAGGGAAGAAGCACGGCTCCAGGAGACTTGTTCTACGAGGGGAGACAGCGTTTGGCAGGGCAAACTGGGCAGAGCAGAACATTAAAGGGTGAGGGAGAGCGTGAGGGCAGGAGCAGGAGCCGTTTCCCTGCAGCAGTGAGGATGGGCTGAAGGTGGGATCCCCGCGTGCGGCAGCCGGGCATGGACCCGGCTGAGGGGGTCAGCACTGAAATCCCACACTTGGCTGGAGCCAGGAGCAACAGAGGAGGAGTTGTGAGTCAGTCGGATACGGTTTTTAGGCTAATCTCAAAAAATAAAAGCAACAAGGTTGTGAGGAGAGACAGAACTGACCTGCAGAGACAGTGGTGCGAGAAGAAAAGCAGAGTGTAGGTGGGTGCACCCGAAGAAAATCCGATTCTCTGAAACATTTAGAATCAAAGTTTTAAACTCCCTTTGAATTAACAGAGGTTTGGCCTCTAAATACCTTTGCAAAACAAATTTTTGTTACCTCTTCTCCATAGCTGCTTCTGGAGTGAAGCCCTCTTCCCTCTTGTCTTCTTCCCTCTTCTTCCCTCTTCTTCCCTCTTCTTCCCTCTTCTTCCCTCTTCTTCCCTCTTCTTCTTCCCTCTTCTTCTTCCCTCTTCTTCTTCCCTCTTCTTCTTCCCTCTTCTTCTTCCCTCTTCTTCTTCCCTCTCTAACTCTGCTCTTCAGAAGATGTTTATGATCCCACACCTACATCCTCTGTGATATGCCCACAATAATTTTGCTATTCCACCTTTACTTTCCACACTGTGAATTATTCAAGTCTCTCTGCCTGCCACGGAGCCCGAGAGAAGTCTCTGTAGATACCGGTGTCCTCCCGTCGGCAGCGTCCTTGGCAGCGTGGCAGCGAGTGCGGGAGCACAGTGTCGGTAATGACGCTGCCGCAGCAGAAGCTGCGTGGTTACGCTGGAAATATGTCGTGGTGGCTTAATTGCCAGACTGCAGTTCATTTTCTGCACTTAAAGAGGGAGGAAAAACAGATTGATTAATGAGGAAAGAGTAAACCTGAGCAAAGACGTGTGCGAGCTGCCAGTGGAGAGTGAACACGTGTCTGGACGGCTGTCCTTTCCGGCGTGTGCAGGGGAGGGGAATCTTTAACGATCTAAGAAGCCCTAACGATGCGGTGGTCTGCTTGGTGTCCTCCTGGAGAGCAGAGCTGGCGGGGGGCAAGGCTCTCCCCGCTCAGGCACCTCCCGGGCTCCGGGTGGCAAACGCAGGGTGGAGGTTCTTTATCTGGACCTTATCCTAAGGAAAGCGGTCGCAAGGTTCGACTACAGAGGCAAAAATAAATCACTGGTGATGCGCACAGTGGCTTGCAGGACTTTCTTTTGTTAGTTTATTTTAATTTTTTTGCTTCCATGAGACTTTGGACAGTCAGCACATGTAAAATAACGTGGAATTGTATTTCACATGGGAGTCCCTGGTGAGCGGCGTGCTGCTGAAGCTCGCCTGCGTGTGCTGCGCTGTATTTCCAGCAAAAGCCACAGCACGCAAGTCCCTCCCGGGGGCTGCAGCTTTCCTCTTCGGTGCCGTGAGGGAGCTGCTCAAAGGAGGAGGAGAAGAGAGGATGCCTGGGGCGCTGGCAGCTGAAGATGTGTGAGGCTGAGAGGAGTGAGGACGGCTGCCTGTGCACAGCAGCCTCCCGGCCCGGCCGCGCCGGAACGTCCGTGTTCTGTCCTGTTCCTCATGCCTCTGCGCGCAGACGTGTACATGAACGGAAGGACTGGGCTGCTGCTTAAACCCACGTGAGGCTGGAGACTATAAAAGAATCAAAATTCTAACAATAATAAAAAGCTTTTTTTCTAGGATTGGAGAAATAGTTAAAAAGAGAAAGAAGCAGATCTGGAAGTGGAATTGATGTGATTTCGTTGTTAAAAGGAAAGATAAATCCTAGGTCTGTTAAGCATTGTTCCCTGAAGCGTGTTGCTCCATGTCCAGCTGCCCCGTGTTCACCAATATCCGTCTGAGTAAAGGGCTGAGTGAGCAGGAGGTGAGGAGAGGAGACTTGGAGCCTCAGGGAGTGGTTTGATTTTTCTTCGACAGTTTTGGCTTGTCGGGAATGTATTTACTGCACATTAAAAAGAAATCCTTTCCCCTCACAGATAATGGCAAAGAATCGAGTAGAGCCTCCTGCCCGCCAGCCTTCATTTTACATACGGAGAGGAAGAGTACGGCCGTGGAGAGCGACGGCGAGAAGGTCTGCGACGGAATTTCTTCTTTTAAAAACCTCGTGAAATTATTGAACTGCACGAAGCAGAGTCAGGATAAAGGACTGTGCTCTGGCTGGAGCTGGGCTGGGGGTGCGGGGCTGTGTCCTACAGCCGGTTTTGAAGGGCTCTCTGTCTATTTAACCTATCTTGGGTGCTTTATAGAGGCTCTGTCACCGCAGTGTTGGAGGATCCGGGGAGGGATGCTCGCGGCTGGTTTGCTCCCCGTGCTGGAGGAGAAGCGAGTCGATGCGGGGGGTGTGCGTGTGGGTGCAGGCACGGAGCTGTGACACAGCCCGGGACAGAATTCCTGGCTAAAGTGCAACAGCAGAGTAGGAGGGATTTTCCTCTGGCTCACTGCGGTGGCAGGGACCTGTGGCGCTGGCTCAGCCCTGGTTCAGCGCAGGGTCCCCTCGCTGGGCGTCCTGCTCATCGCAGCGTCGGGTGCGAGGAAGGATTTCCTTCACGGCCTCCACCTTTCTGGGGTTGCTAATTCCACTGTGCTGTGCACGTGCGTAGCCTTGCAAGGTCTTTAAATAACACTGCCAGGTGGGTGTAAACGGATAGGTAACATTACGTGCGACTTACAGATGGGTGATACTACATGTGTGGAACTTCATTAGCTTTTTATAAAAAAGCTGAGATTATTGTATAAAGGAGCAGAACCGAAATCAGACGCCCAGCTGCTATGGAGTGAGGGGAACTATTTGCTTTCCGCACAGCTGATGCAGACTTCGTGCAAATGGCTAAAGCTGAAAGAGGGAAACCTTCGCCCGAGCATGGGGGCTGGAGGCCGTCTCGGGCTCGGAAGGCAGCGGTGTGGCAGATGCCCAAAGCCGCCTCGGAGCCTGTTCCCCCGCGCTTCTGCTCCGTGCTCCGAGCTCTGTCCCGCGGCGGGGGGACCTGGGGGCTGTGCCGCTGTGCAGTTCCTTTTCATTTGGCACGTTGCTGTCTCTGGGCTCTGTGCAACGAGACCTGCCCGGCGCTGCCGGCGTTCCCCACGCTGCGACTGCGGTGGCACCCGGGCACATTCCTCAGGGCTTCGGGTTGTAAAATACTTCCAAGGTGAAGATCTCTGGACACAGGCTTTGTTATTTTTTAATTAAGTATCTGCTTTTTGTGTTTTGGTACCGCACTGCGCTAGATGGCTGCCTTCCTCCCACACCTCCCCCTGGCAGTGTCTTCCTGTAGGCTCCTGCGACGAGGAGCAGTTCTGCAGCCGGTGGAACTGGCCGTGGCACCCAGACCCCGCGTGCTGTC